AACGGAGGCGTTGTTGGCTTTGTTCAGTAGGTGCAAAGCACGCTGGTTTCCCCAGGGCGCCAAATCTGCCATGTCTTTACGAGCTGTGTGGGTTAAGCCTGGGTCATGCTAACCCAGACACATCTCCAAGAAATGCCACCTCACAGGAATCTTTGTGGGGGATAACAAGTGAGAGAGTTGTGAGCTCCAGTCAAAAACGCTGGAAAGTCTCCTGGCGACATTCTGCTGACAGTGGGAGAAATGACACTTTCTCTGAAGTTTGGAACCAAGTGCCCTCGTTTGTGGGTGGGTGTTTGTGTCCTTCCCGCCTCGGATTCCCATCTAAAGCGTTGTCGTGAGGCTGACACAGCGGCTGAGGAGCTAGAGGGCTCTGGGGAGCAGGGACCAAAGCAAAGCATCCAGCAGGGGAAGACCCTAACTCTGACAAACACCATGGATAGAGACAGCAGAGAGGAAAGCGCCCCCCCCCCCCGACAGCATCTCCTGTGTGGGAAAAGCACATCAGCACATCATCACGGGCGCAGAGAGATTTCCCAGTCTCGATCTGAAGACCTGCAGGCCCCCAATTGAAATCAGCAAATTCTTAGAAAAAGAGATGTTCCCTACTCAAGGAAGGGCAGGAACAGTGAATAGTCATGTGCTCATCAAATATTCTGCTATGGGGATCAGAGACATAGTAGAATGGGTGGGTGCTGGTGCTGGACATGGCGACCCCTGTGAGCACTCCAGAAATGAGCTAGGAGTAAGCCCTGAGTGTCGCAGGGTGTGGCCCCCAAAGAAAGTAAAACATATACACATGTGGAAAAGTGCCAGGCATGTGCACCTCTAGGGCCTTGATTTGGTTCTCTGGTGCTTCTCTGGTACTCACGACTGTCTGAGCACAAGTGGGAGTGCTCCAATCGCCACTGGCCCACGCCAGGCCATGCTTTGCCAGGAATGGTCCCAGGCCCCTGAGACACAGGGCACGGCTTCTCTAAAAATGAACTTGCGAAAGAAAGAAATGGGTCAGAGAGATAGTACAGTTAAGACACAGACCTTGCATCCCAGCAACCCCGGTTCGAATCCCTGGCTCCACATTCAGGGTCCTGGGCATCACCAGGTTTACTTCTCAATACAGAGCCAGGAATAGCTCCTAAGCACTAAATGAACCACAAAATGGAAAAAAATGATGAGCACAGTACTGCCATCACTTGTCAGCATTGTTCTGATGGCCAGTGCCTAGGGCGAGCAAAAGGAGGGAGAGATAAAGGCAAGGAAAGAAGGCCTGCATTATTCATGGGCTTTGACAAGCATTATCAAATGCCAAAGAATCTAGAATGAAATTATTAGTTACTAAGAGTGTTTGACAAGATTCCTGGATACAAAATCCACAGCTAAAAATCGTTTGTATTCCTACAACAGCCAACAGCTCAAAAACGAATCTACCGTTTACAATAGCATTTTTAAAAACACAAAGAGCTAAAAATACATTTTTGCAAAAGACTCGCGAGCCTTTGGGGAGGAATGAGCAGCACTTTGTTCAATTTGGGGAGCACCGGCCATTGTCAAGGCCTCCATATGCCTTTACCACAAGCTTTTTATTTGACAGTGACCACAGGCACTGTGCAACTGGCCAGCACCAAGCAAGTGCTTCTGCCGTTCGTGAGCAAGTGCACTGCATCCGGAAGGCATGAGGGTAGTGGAGCCGCACCCTCCCAGATAGTGGCCGCATTCCAGGCTCCGGAAGACAGCCCAGTGTGCTTTGGGGACAGGCTGGACTACATGCTCCAGGAAGAACCCTGTTAATCTGTGCATGCATGCTAGCCCCTGCAGCTGGGAGAAATGAATGAACTCTTCAGTGAGTTGTGTGCAGACAACCGCGAGAGAAGGCAAGGACAAAGACACCGATGTGCCTCTGTGGGAGGTCACAGGCTTCCAAGGTTGAGGCTCTGTTCTGTCCCCAGCACCCAAAAAGCCCAGTTGTGTCCCTAAGTCACACTAGATGCTAAGAGCGGAGTTCTGGAGCCAGAAGCCTGAGTGCTAGGAGCAAAAATGGCATTGACCTTGGAACTCTGCACATAGGCATGTCTCTGCTACTGGGGATAAGCAAGGGGAAAGAGAGAGAGGGAGAGAGAGAGAGAGAGAGAGAGAGAGAGAGAGAGAGAGAGAGAGAAGGAGAGGGTGGGAGAGAGAAGGAGAGAGAAAGAAACAGAGAAAGGGAAGGATGGAAGGAAGGAAGGAAGGAAGGAAGGAAGGAAGGAAGGAAGGAAGGAAGGAAGGAAGAAAACCCTAACTACTAGGGCAAATCAAAATGGGTGAGCATGAAAGAAAGCCCTTGAACTCACCAGAAACCCCATAGAGGCCTGGAGATGCCAGGCAGAGGCAGAACTTCTGTCTTGTCTGCATAAGAGCAAACGTTCAATCTTAGGAACCAAGCACATGACTAGGTGTGATCCTTGGTACCACAAATGTACAACCCCACTGAGCACCTCAATCATGTGTTGCAGACCTATCACTGTGCTACTACTAACAAAAACTGTACCAGAAGGCGAAGATGCACAGATAACACCGCGGGACTCACTGGTCTTGTGTGCGGCCAATCTGGGTGTGATCCCCATCACCCTACATGGTCCCCTGAGCTCCACCAGGACTGATCCCTGAGTGTAGAGCCAGTGGAAGCCCCTGAGTACCTATTGCCTAAATGTCCCTCCCCCCAAAAAACCCTGACACTGCATATAGTCCCTGAGGCACATTCAAGAAGGCTGTCTGGGCACAGAGCCAGGAGTAGCCCCTGAGCATCACTTGATATGGTCCCCAACCCCTAAAACAAAACAACAGGAACCAACAAAAGCAGGAAGGAAAGCAAACCCAATGTGTCCCGAAGAGAATGAAAGTGAAGCCACCAAGTGATGGATCGTCAGTGCTCCAGTCACATGGAACTCAGAGAGCAAACAGGATTTCCACTCAAGGAGAGGATCAGTGACCCCACTGACAATGGGAAGGAACTTGAGAAAGCAAAACTGTAAACGCACCTCCAATCACAGTGACAACTGGCAAGGAGAAACTGTCCCACCCTGAGACACCTCAAAACACCCTCCAGCTTGGTAAGAATGAAAGTGTCCTGCCACGGCAGTACCAAGAATTAACAAGAACCTGCTTGGAAGAGGAGCGCTCAAATATTGCTGAGGAGACTGTCACTTGGTCCCTTGGATACACTGCCCTAGCAATTTCCCTCCCGGGGTGTCACACGAACACGTGGAGTTGGCGCCAAAAGAAAAAGATTGCTTTGCTCTTTGTAAGAAGCAAGACTTGGAAGCCACCCACATGGCCATCCAGAGAATGGGTGCATCATGGCAGCGTGCGTACTTAGAGCTGAACCCTCACCATGTGCCTGCAGAGCCAGGCCTTCAGCCTGGTGTCCAAAATGGCTTCCTAGGCGAGTAGGATGCCACTGAGCTTTCCGGCTGCTCTACCAGGATCCAGGACAGGAGCGGTCAGATCACGAAGACAGCAGGTCCACACATGCAAGACTGGGGAACTAAGGGAACATTCGACAAGCTTTCAGAATGAGAGGCCAGCGTTGAGACTCAAGAGTCAGAAAAATAGCTCCAAGGGCTGGAGGGAACACTGGCTTTGGAGGCAGGCGGCCCCACAGACACTGGTCTCCCAAGCACCACTGGGAATGATTACCTAGGATGCTCTGAGCACCATTGGGTGTGACCTAGAAACCAACTCCCATTTCCTGTCATTCTCAACACGGGAGCTGAAACAGTGGAGAAGCTGGACAAAGCTGCGTTTGCCTCAGATACTGATGGGAGAGGCCCCAGGGGGAGCAATAGTACTGGAGAATGCAGTTCAGTCAACTGACCTTCAACTTGACCCTGACATGAGCCAGATGCAAGGCTAGAATCAGGGAGGCCCTGCCCTCGAGGTGAGCACCTTTTCCAGAACCCGTAACATTGGTTGCAGGTCCCGGGTGGCAGGGGTGGCTCTGTGGCATTTCAGCAATGGACTCCAATTTCCTTGGCAGTAGAATCCAAGATCACTCTGTGTAACTTTCTCATTGGAAACAGAAAACATTAATTCTCTGTGGTGTACACAGTTTGATACATAGTTAGGCAATCAACATCATGGATTATCATTTCAGCCAACTTTATTGTAAATACTTCAAGCTTTTTCTGGACGCTATGACATTTTCACATTCTGGAAACACATTTCTGTGGGGGAAGAGATTGCCCTTCCAGGTGCTAGCCAATTCCTGGAGACAGTCAAGCTCCTAGCTGGGAACATGGCTTTGATATGCAAAGCAGCCCATTCTCTCAGGCCCCTGCTTCCCAGAAGTGCAGGAATCACCCCAGGCCAAGTGCCAGGCTCTTCGGGACACCCACTGCAATGATTCCAATATGCCTATCCTAGCCGCTCCTCCTGCCTGTCCTGGCACTTCCGGCATGGGCCCAGCCTGGTATGGAGAGTGGGAAAGATAATCCACTGCATTTTCCTCAGCCCCCGGCTCCTACCCAGCCACAGCTGATAATTAGTCAAAGAAAGAACACAAAAGCCTAACCGAAGTCTTTCTCCTCGGAAGCCAGTTAATTATCTTCAGACTCTTTTGTCACATCCTACTAGTGCTGTTTCCACTCTTTTGTGAAGGGGACCCTGAGAGCAGATGTGGCCCTGAAGACTCCAGCCACTGCCCCACCGGTGCAAAAAAGCTCGCACCTCCAAGGCACAAGCCAGTGGGCCTGGGCTGCTGGTGGCAGGCCCATGGGGCAACCAATTGGAGGCTGCTGGAATCATTCCATCTTGGAAGTGGGTGATTATGTGAGAGAAAGAGTTCTGAAATCTTGGCCAAAGCGTTTGAAGTCAGGGACTGGGGCGATAGGCCAGCAGGGAGGGCATTTGCAGACCCAGCTTCTAACACCAGCATTCCCCATAGGGTCCCCTGACGCCACCAGGTGTATCTCTGAGTGCAGAGTCAGGAGGAAGCCCTGAGCATTGCCAGCTGTGGGCCCCAAACAAACCCCCAATAGTCCTCGATGATGAAGCTGTAGGAGGGGGACACTCCACTCACCAGGAGCAGCTCTCTGGTGTCATCTGATGTGGCCAGGAAAGTCTAGAACCAGAGGGCAAAAAGTCATTCAGGAATGGCATCAGGGAGGAGGAAGAGGAGGTGAGAGAAAGTTTAAGTTGCCTAATTTCCTGATCCTTCCACAAAAAGTGCCCTGATCAATAAGCTATTGCCAGGTGTTAATCAGTAGTCAAAGTTTGATTATATCATTGAAAGTACAAATCAAACCCTAGTGTACCTCCAAGTAGCACTGTAGCAGTGTCCTCTCATTGTTCACCGATTTGCTTGAGCGGGCACCAGTAACATCTATATTGTGAGACTTGTCGTTATGGTTTTTGGCATATTGAATACGTCACGAGTAGCTTGCCAGGCTTTGCCGTGAGGGCGGAATACTCTCGGTAGCTTTCCGGGCTCTCCGAGAGGGGCGGAGGAATCGAACCCGGGTCAGCCGCATGCAAGGCAAATGCCCTACCCACTATGCTATGGCTCTGGCCCCGTGCCTCCAAGTCATAATAGAACTAGAGGGCCAGAGGAGTAGAGGGCGGTGTGGGGGGGGGAGTGACTAGGAGGGTGGAAGCTGTTTCACGATGTTTTACTGGGGGCGGGGTGGGATGGGGTTGGGTGCATCAGCTCCTGGAGGAAACCCGCAGCTCCATTCCAGATCTTTCCAGTGCCCCGAGGTGAGAGTGGCCAGTGGAAGACTGTTGTGGAAAGTGGAGAGGACCAAATCACGTGGCCAAACAGGAGGCCTTGAGAACCTGAGTCAGGAGGCCTGAGGCCCCTGACATCCTGCTAGAAAATGAGAACGAGGCTCCAGTCCGTTGTCGAAGCATATGCAGAGCACAGAACCCAGGCTTTAGCTCCCCTCCTGAAGCCCCAGACACCGAGTAACTCAGACATCCCTTTGCTGCATAATGAGATGACACTAATGACAATGCAACACATGTGAGCGTTTGTTATAGTTCTCATCTGCAGCTTTAGGGCCACCCACATCACGCTACACACACCCCTTAAGTAGGCTCTCCCCCTTAGTGAACCAATTCCTTTAAAATCATCACCATGGGGCTGGAGCGATAGCGCAGCGGTAGGGCGTTTGCCTCGCATGCGGCCGGCCCAGGTTTGATTCCCAGCATCCCATATGGTGCCCTGAGCACCGCCAAGAGTAATTCCTGAGTGCAAAGCCAGGAGTAACCTCTGTGCGCCGCCGGGTGCGACCCCCCAAAAAGCAAATAAAATCATTACCAGGAGACTTGCTGCATCGTACCTGGAGGATGGCCATGGCCACAACTTGGGAGCACATGCTGATTTACTCTCCATCTGCTTCTGTCCACTCTGCCTTAGCTGGAGTTCTTTCTGACCATCAAGAACAGAACCAGTGCTCCTGACTTCCTTCCTCCCCCGCTTCGTTCCTTTCCTACCTTCCATCCTGCGTGTCACAGTGGTGCTCAGGATCTGCTCCTGGTTTGGTGCGTGGGGAGCCATGTGATGCCAGGGATCAAGCCCAGGGCTCCTGCCTGCACAGCTTGAGCTCCAGCCCATGGCCCCATCTCCCCGTGCCCTCCCCTCCTTCTCTTCCTTCTTCCCTCCCTGAGCAACAAGAGCAACAAGAGGCTGCCCCGGCCTGAGCCACTCCCCCACCCCCACCCGGACCCAGCTCCCGGAATGTGGGAGATGGGGTCTCCATCCCAGGCGCTGCCAGGTCAGCGGGACTCGGGAGCCGCCTGCTGAGAATGAACCCCAGGCCGTGGTAGCGATCCCCTGAGCCCCCGATATCGCCTTCCTCTCCTCCGCTTCTGACCTCTCTGGGAGTTCCCCGGCAGCATCAGTTTGGGGTCAGGACCCTCTCACATCTCTTTTGGGGCCTCTAATCTCACACTGGTTCCCCGGCTCCCCTGATGTTCAATTCCCAGGCCGGGCAGGGCAAACGGACACTGGTGTGGCCATTCTGCCACTCCGTGTCATTGCCCAGGGAACTGCTCAGTGACCTTCTGCATCTGATCTATGACAAGAGTCCTGAAGAGTGGCCTTCTGGGGCCTCCTGCATCACAAGTCTTCTCCCGTGGCCTTCTCACCTACGGTGACAGTGACTTTCTGCCCACACTGATCCCCCTTACCTTCCCAGTAGCCTTAGTGATCCCTTTCCTGCCATTCAGTAGAAGTGGTTTATATGGTCCTTCAAGGACCCAAAAGGACCAGCTGTCCCTTCGTGATCACAGTCATGGGTGCGCCCATGGCAGCAGTGCCCAGATAGTAAGGCAGAAAGGATTGCTGAGAAATGTGAAAAATTGGAAAAGGAAACTAAACTAAAACTCTACCTTGAGAGTTTCGAATGCCCTTTTAAAAAATCTTCAATTAGGGGGAAAAGAAGAAAAGAAAAAAATTGCAGACTATTTAGAAAACAGGAGTGGGGAGAAATGAGAACAGAAAGTACCAAGTTAGGACACATCGCAGAGAAATAATGAATCAATCCCGGAACCAATTTTTGGAGAACCCCCAAACCTGACAAAGAAGATAAAACAGTAGCCAACTTAAGTAGAGGGGGAAAGAAACAAAATTCGAACAGAAACTGGTGCTGATTAGGAATGTAACCTCTCACCTCCTGAGGCCATCAGCCAATGGTCAGCAGTGCCTGTCCAAGGCCACGGAAATGCGAGTGAAGGGAGTGCTGAGCTACAGAAACAGAGAGACCTCGAACTGTGTCTGGAGCTGGCTGAGCTGTGACACTTTCAGTTCCAAGCCGGTACAGGACACACTGCGGGGTTCAGTTGCCGGAACTTCTGGTGGAGTGAGGTCTCTGGCCACTGCTTCCAGCGCCGTTTCTTCTGAGTCCCGCAATGAACACAGGGGCCGGAGTGTAAGTAGAACTGGCACACTGGCCAAGGGGCAGCTGCCCCATCATGCCTTGTCGTGTCCAGCTCGGTCGGTGTGGTCCTGGTCCACTGGCCTTACCCTCTGTTGAATTTCAGTTGAGTCCCATAAGACTCCGAGCACTGGGGGGAGCCAGTGTGAGGCCCCCATGCCTCAATATGTGGTGCTTCCACACCTGCGTCTCCTGTAGAGATGACCATTTCCGCTTCCTCAGGCCGAGGCTGGGTGCATCGTCCCAAGGGCAGGGTGAAGGGGAGCCAGCACCAGCATTCCGAAGTACCCTGGACTGTGGCCAGGGAGATGGTACAAGGATTAAGGTGCTTGCCTTGCATGCAACTGCCCTGGTTCAATCCCCGGCACCTCGTAGGGTCCCCCAAGCTGATATCACTAGGAGTGATCGCTGAACAAAGAGGCAGGAGGAACTCCTGAGCACAGCTCTCCGTGGCCCCCAAACAACACAAAGCAGTATTGTTCTTAGGGGCACGGCAAGAGGCAGTCAATGTGCCACTTATGGAGAGATCAGGGCCCAGGAGGCGGCTCTCTGGGAAGATGACATGTCTTGAGTCAGGTGCCCTCTTCCGCAGTAGACTCTCAGTATGTCTCTCAGATCCTAGAAGAGTGTGAGGGCCCAGGGCTGCTGAGTTCAACTGCAGGCACGCAGGAAGGGCCACAGACGCAAGAAGGCCCCGTCTGTTTGCTTTAACTCTAAGCATCAAAAGGAAAAAAGTCACTATGCGATCCATATAAGAGTTTCTTGGGCTGCAGCTCCTATGTTACACATAGCTGTTTGGGTTTGATCCCTTGGCACCCCATATGGTTCCGTGAGAAGTGCCAGGAGTGACCCCTGAGTGTAGAACCAGTAATAAAGCCCCGAACTCCACCACAGGGTGCGGTCCCCAAACAAAAACTCCACTTTTCTCTTTCATTTGTTTTGATTTGGTTTTGGAGCCACATCTGGAGCTAGTCAGGGCTTACTCCTGAATCTGCGCTCAGGCACCACTCCTGGCTGAGCCGGGGGACCATGCGTGGTGCCAGGGATGGAGCCTGGTTTGGCTATGTGCAAGGCCAGCACCCCGCCTGCTATACTAGCTAGCTCTGGCCAGTGCTATTTATGCATTTCCAAGGCCAGATAGATAGGATGCGTGCCAGATCACAATTCTATCTTTCATTGGAAGACTCCTGAGTCCTTTGAAGCAAGAGAATTTTCCTGCCTCCAATGCACCAGCCATTGGGGAAATAATGATACCTTTCATTAGCTTCTTATTTTAATCATCAATTTTTGGGTCCATTTGGCTCCAGGTGTTTCCAATGGCTTCTTTTCCCTATATTCTTACACGAATTCCCCATCGTCTGAGGCCGTTTTCTTCAGCCTTCCAATCACATCTAACACGCCAAGTTGAGATACTCACACTTCGAAACAATTCCTGGAGCCCTCTGCCTCCGAACCTGCGACTCTGACTCCAGTCTGGAGTCACTGCCATCAGGCCTGCTGCCCACTTGGCGTCCCTGCTGTTTCCTGTCACTGCTCTCCTGGATTCGATTCACTGCTTTGTAGATCCCACATCTTCCTTTTTCTTGGCTTACACACTTGTTTTGCTGGAGAGCATCCTCAAGGAGCTTCCTAAGAAAATATATTTGAGAGGTATTTTTTCTGGGTTCTTGCATATCTTCAAGCATTTGCCTCCCATGGTTCATACATGATGGGGATTTTGGCTGGCGTTGAATTTTAAAATACCAATCATTTTCTTTTGATGTTATGAAATCATTGCTTTATTATCGTTTTTAATACTGGTTCCCAGCATCTTTCATCATCCCATATTGGTATTTATTCTGACTCCTAGGCCTTTTTCTTGGTTTTCCCACTCAGGCATTTTCGTAAGGGACTGGGGAGGTAGTTCAAAGGGTGGGACTCGTGCCTGGAATCCTGTGTCCTCCCAAGCACCACTTGGGGTACCACTGGGGACCCTAAGTACTCATGGGGAAGGCCTCCCACAAAACAGCAACAACATTTGTTAGTTTCCTGCAGGACTTCCTAGATCACTACTCAAAATTCTTACATTTTCTGTGTTTTGGTCACTTTTGGGGAAAATTCTTCAGTTTTATACTTAGCTATTTCTACCCAAATCCATTTTTCTTTTGGTTTTAGGGCCACGCCCGTGAGTGCTTGGGTCTTCACTCAGGGGTCGCTCCCGGTAGTGCTTCGGGGAGCACTGCACCCATGGGCGCGCTTGGTACTCTGTGCCCATCCTGAGCCTTTCCGGTGAAAGGTTCACTTCAACAATCTCCTTTTCACCTCCAACAATCCGCACTTGTTTCCTGCTCATTTTCTTTGCCATTCAGCTCTTGTTTTGTAGATACAATATTTCTCTTCAGGTTTCTCTGGGGGTGTGGGCTGTGGGGTGTGAGGGGGGCATACCTGGCAGTGCTCAGGGCTTACTCTTGGTTCTGTGATCAGTTATCAGCCCTGGTCATGCTTGAGGGACCATATTTAACCCCCAGGCTCCCTATCTGGTCTCTCCAGTAAGTTTCTGAATATGCTGAGGAAATCTTTGCAGAAGCTCCCTTGGTTTTTAGAGCTTCCCTGCGTTCATTTCTCCCTATAGTTTATGCTTGGCTGTATTTATTCATTTATTAGAATTTGGGGCCACAGTTGGCTGTGCTCAGGATCCCTCCTGGGGGGCTAGGGGGGCCTCAGGTAACCGTCTAGGATGCCGGGGATCCAAGCAAGCACCCTTCGTGCTGTGCTCTCCCTCGAGGCCCTATCAATGACAGCCCCGGACATCTCTGACACTCTTCAGCGCTTGGTGCGCACTACACTTAAAGGGCTGCTTAGCTGGTGTGGATTTCATCCGCTTTAGGGCAAAACATTCCGTTTTCTTGCTAGAACTCTGTGCCGGGCAGGACGCGCTAAACACTCCCCCCAAATGCTAGAATGAGGAGACAACGTTCCAGGGTGCCGGCCTCTCTGCTGGAAGCTCTGGTTCTCTACAGACAGTTCCTCCCATTTCTCTTGAGAACTGCCAGGTGTTTTTCCCCGCAGGCCTGTGCCAGCTGCCGGCTCAGCCGTCTGGTGGCGAAGCAGAGGTACCGCGTGGTGCCTCCCTCGGTCCCGAGGCGCAGGTGCTTTCTGCCATTCCCTCGGATTCTCCGGCGGCTGCGCCCCCAACGAGATCTCTCCGCTCATTGCTGCCCGTTGGACTCAGCACCGCGAATTCACCCTCTCTGCAGCCCCCAAGTGATGGCAATTGTCCATTAAGGAAAACCTTCCCCCAGTTTCTTCACTGCCAAAGGTTTGTCAGTTGTCAGTCTCCTCGCTTCAGGCAGCTCCTAAGGGGAACGAAGGAAAACCTGTCGGTCTGTGTGAATTCTGGCAGGATGGCAGGAATCGGTCTGGTTTTCTATCTCCTAAGGCGACTGATTGCTCTAGATAACTTCTTTGGCCACACAACAGACATTAATGAAAAGAACTCTCATGTTGATCATTTCTAAAATGTTCGTTTCTATCTCCCCTTTAACTAGTGAGTGATTGTGAAATTGGTTTGAGAAGTTCCAGGAGAATAATTGCATTTTTAAAAGACTTTTGCCCATCCTTTTGTTTCGAAGTCTTCATTTTGCTGTGTTGCTGCCAAAGGCTGTTAACTGCATGAGTTCATGAGTTCGACATTTTGGAATTTACCGGGGTTTTCTGAGGGGTCTAATTTATAAACAGCTCTAGGAAGCTTTCTACAAGTGTTTGAGCGGGTTTGTCTTTTTTAACCTTTTGTGGTTGCATCTGGGGTGTTAGCTCTGAATGAAAGGTTGGGCTCCTTTACCCTTTTCATTTTACATTTTACATTTTTGTTTTCAATTTGCTTTTCTAAAGCCATTTCCCCTCTGTCAGTTGAAGGGATTTTTAAGCGAAGTAGAAGCTTGCACTCTGTCACATTAGCAAAATCCTCCTGGCTGCTGGTTTTCCAACAATTGCTATATGGTGTTTTCCTTTTAAAACTCGTCCACGGGCCCATTTTCACTTTCCATTCATTTTCTTTGGGGCACCTCCCGAGTAGTGTTTAGGGGATCAGGGACCACTGCCAGCTGTGCAGGCCCAGCAGTGCCCCCAGAGCCACACACGGAGATACTCAGGCAGGTCCATTGTTAAAGGAAATCTTTTAGAAAATATTACAGTTCCATTTTGAAGTGTACCATTTTGTAATTCTTCAAGTAAATACCTTAATCTCTAAGATATGTTTTTCTTCTTTTCAATGGCAAGAGGGAAACTTATATCAAGTTAATCCCATCAATTCAATCTAAGGCATTTCACAAGACCCTTTTCACTGGTTTCTCTTTTGAAATTCTTTTCTAAGCTTCGGGCTCTTTCTTTCTTTCTTTCTTTTTTTCTTTCTTTCTTTCTTCCTTCCTCTTCTTTCTTTCTTTCTTTCTTCCTCTTCTTTCTTTCTTTCTTTCCCTCTCTCTTCCTTCCTTCCGCTTTCTTTCTTCCTTTCTTTCTTTCCCGCTCCCTCCCTTCCTTCCTCATTCTTCTTTCTTTCTTTCTTTCTTTCTTTCTTTCTTTCTTTCTTTCTTTCTTTCTTTTTTTCTTTCTTTCCCTCTCCTTCCCTTCCTTCCCTCCTTCCTTCCTCTTTCTTTCTTTCTTTCTTTCTTTCTTTTCTTTCTTCCTTTCTTTCCTATTTTTCAGTCAACCTGGCAGTGCCCAGGACTTATCATGGCTCTGCACTTAGGGATTTTCTAATTTTAAAATGAGAAAATCAGTAGCCAGGGAGGAGACTCAGAGACTGGCGCACATTCTTCCCATGCGAAAGAGCCCTAGTTTCTGCAGGCAGTGCACAGCCCTGATGGCCCCAGCAGCACGACCCAACAAATAGTGCCGAGAGTGGCTCCCAGATCCTCCAACCTTACTGAGAAACAGCGAGCCAGGAATTCAAAATAGAAAGTACCACATTCCCAGAAGGGAAGAGTCCATGTACCAAAGATGCCAATCTTGCACCAATTCATTTAAAAATGATCTGCCTAAGTCGAAATCCAGGAGTGTGGATGGACTTTCCAGGTTCATACTAGCTCTGTAAGAGTAAGTGTTCAGGATCCAGAGAGGTAGCACAGTGGGTAGGGTTCCTGCCTTGCATGCTGCTGATCCAGGTTCTATTTCTGGCACCCTGTATGGTCCCCGGAGCCTTATCAGGAGTGGTCCCTGAGGACAGAGCAAGGAGTTTTTGTTCTGCTTCTTTTAAAAAATTGGTTTTTAGGCCACACCCAGTGCTACTCAGGGATTACTTCTGGCTCTGTACTCAGGGAACACTCCTGGCAGGCTCAGGGGACCGTATGGGGTGCCAGAGATTGAATTCTGGTCAGCCGCATGCAAAGCAAACGTTCCACCCTCTGGACTATCGCTCCAGTCTTGCATAGAGCCAGGAAAGCCCTGAGCCTACTGGGTGCGACCCCAAAACAAAACAAAACTACCCTAAAATGATCTGAACTCATAGGGGCCTCTGAACTCATTGAATCTATCTGTTTAGTTAGTAGAGCAGAGAAGGTACTGGTATTGCGCCCAGCCGGCCTGCACATTGCACAGGCCCGCCAGGAATAAGCCCTGAGTCCAGAGAAAGGTATGGTTCCCCAAACAAACAAACAGCAACCCCCAGCTCTCTGTATAGGATGATTATATACGTGGTTACTTCTTTGCATTTCTAACGCCACTTCCTCGACTCTTTTGTTTTGAGACTGAGCTTGGTCGATGGTCTCCCCTCACTGCTGTTGAAGGAAGGGTCAGTCCTGCTCCTGCTAAGTTTGGTCACCCCTCTGATGCCCAGGAGCATGAGGGCTAGTGGTGCTCAGGAGGCCGTGCAGTGTCAAGGACAGACCTCAGCGCCTCTTGCACTTGAACTATCTCCCCGTCCCCAAGAGGGTTGGCTTTCTCCCCAGCTCTTCAAAGAACAGGCTTTCAGTGTTTGAGGGCTACACCATTTATGTGCTCAGGGGTCACTTCCAGCAGTTCTCAGGGGACCATGTGTTGCTGGGGATCAAACCCAGGCCTCCTGCTTGCATAGCCTGCATTCTGTCCTTTGAGCTCTCTCTCCAGCCCGTCAAATTAGTTCCGACTCATCCTTAGAGTTCCCCTCTGTTTTGTCCAGCTTTTCTCTGCAGCCTTTTTAGCTGCTTCTCTAGCTGGCCCATTCTCCTACTCAACATCTCTATTTGTTCACGTGATTGGCAAATTTAACATGGCTAAAATGGGATTATTTCTTTATTTTGAGGGGGAGCCACACCCAGCGATGCTTGGGGGGTAACTCTTAGCTCTGTACTCAGGAATTACTGCTAGCAGGGCTTGGGACCATATGGGATGCTGGGGATTGAACCGAAGTTGGTTGCGTGCAAGGCAAGCGCACTACCGACTGTACTATCGCTCCAGCCTGTTTGTTGTTTTTGTTTGTTTGTTTTGTATGGGGGCCACACCCTGAGTGCGTAAGGACTGCTCTTGGCTCTATGTGAGGAGATCACTCTTGGCAGTGTGGTCAAGGAACCAAACCATGTGGTGTCAGGGCTCAAACCCAGGCATCCTGCAAGCAAGACATGCGCTCCATTCTGTTAAGCGCTTTCCTCTGGTCTCCAATATGGAATAATTGATGTGAACTTGCAAAAAATAAATGTACTTTTCCTACACTGTTCTCCAGTGTTGGTGAAAGGCACCCATCCACTCAGTTGTTCAAGCTAAAAACTCAGGAATGGTCCTTGTTTTTTCGCTTTCTCTGTACCCTATACCCAGTCTTTTCTGTCTGAATCAGAAAATATTGCCTGAATCACAGAACTTCTCAGAATCGGCACTGCACCGATGGTCCCCATCACAAAGTGGCAGCTCCCAGTCCCAAACCCTCCAAGGACTTCTCATTTCAGAAGAGCTCAGGTATTCCATAGGTGACCCTGCCTGCCTCTTCCACCACGGGCCCTTCCCTCTCGGGCGCATCTGATCCATCGGCCGCCCCATCCACGGCAAGCATAGCTTTCCCTCGGTACCTTCAACTTCACCTGGCATGTTCTTTCCCAAGATAGCCAGAGTGGGGGAATCAGATGAGGGTGAAAATTTGTGACCGTGTAAAAGCACCCAAGTTAGTTGGCTGTCTCTTTTCTCTTTCCATAGTCCTGTGCACCCAGAGCTTGGAAGAGCGACTGGCACATAGCCGGCATTTGACAAATGAATCGGAAGGGTGGAGCGCCAAATCCGAATCAGGTTTCTGGTTAAACAGAGAGCTAGTACGGGGGAACCGGATTGATTGAGTGATGACGGGAATCAGAGCAAGGGTGGCTTGATACACACGTCTGCCCTAAACACTCCATTGGCTAAAACTTTCCCCATACATTTAAGTATTTTTCCCAAACGGAATTTCTAGATGTTATCTTCCCGGACAGCTTTTCATGGAAGTTTCCCGTCTTGCTTCTAGGTGGAGCCAAGTGTCCGTTCTGTGCTGCCAGGTCCCCTCATCCACACCTGCAAGGAAGCATCTCTTGCAGCGATGACAGGTCTCTCCCAAGCTGGCCACGCACGCCGACCAAGTTTCCCGAAGGTCAGGCTGTGATTTACTATGAGTTTATTCCCTGCCCCGCTGAGACGGGGGAACACCGAAGGTTGAGAAGAGAGAATTCACCCTCAAGGCCTCTTAAGCTCAGGTCCCCGAGTGCAATGATGTCAGGTTCTGGGGCCGGCAACTTTGCGGCTTCCAGCGAGACCGGTGAGACTGACACAGTGACAAGAGGCAGGTGCAGGTGCGTCGCTCACATTGCAGCGTACTGAGCTGCGTTCGCGGACAGGGGTCGGAGAGCTGGGACCGCGTCACAAACAGGAGTCCCGAGCCTAGGCCTCCGCTAGCCCCAGCATCCGCAAGGGCCCATTAATCCTTAACATTCAAATTCCACCCACTAAACCAGCCCCTCGGCGCCCAAACCGCCTCTTTTTCCCAAATGACGGCCGACAGCAGCCAATCGGCGGCCCCGCGTGCGGGTCCGCCCCCTTTTCCCGGGCCAGAACGGACACGGAGTGCCGCCAATGGGCGGCGTCGCCGTCGAGGCTCCGCCCCGGCCCGCCGGCGCCGGCCAATGGCGGGCGTGCTGGCGGCGGGGCCGGGGCGGGGCGCGGGCGCGCAGGTGCAGCAGCGCGCAGGCCGGCCGGGAGGGCGGGGTGCGACGTCGGCCGTGCGGGGTCTCGGCGTCGGCGGCGCGCGCGCTCCCTCCTCTCGGAGAGAGGGCTGTGGTAAAAGCCGTCCGGAAAATGGCCGCCGCCGCCGCCGCTGCCGCGCCGAGCGGAGGAGGAGGAGGAGGCGAGGAGGAGAGACTGTGAGTGGGGCCGCCGCAGCCGCGGGCGGGGACCCCTGCCGGGGGGCGGGGGCCAGGGGCGGGACGTGGCGCGGGAGGGGCCCGCGGGGTCGGGCGACACGGCCGGCGGATGGCGTCCCTCCTCTCTACCCTCCCCCTCCACCGCCGCCGCCGCCGGCGGACCCGCGCCCCGGCCCGGCCTCGCGTGCGGGGTGACCGTCCTCGGCCCCGGCTGCGCGGGGCCGCCGGCGCCCCCCCAGCCCCGCCGCGGCCGCTCGCGCATCCCGGCCGCGGTGACGCGGGCCCCGCCGTGGGCCGGCCCGGGCCCGGCGGGCGCCGCGCGCGTCGTGCCGTGTGCAGGGAGCGGGACGCGGGGCCCACGGCCCCGGCCTCTCCCTGGCCCGCGCGCCCCGCGCCCTCCCGCGCGCCCCCTCTCCCGTTACTCGCCCCCCCCCCGCGGCGCGCGTGCGCAGTCGGCCGGCCGTCGGGAGAGTGCGCCACAAGGGCTCGTGCGCGCTCCCCCTCTCCGCGGGCCCCCTCCTTCTCGCCCATTCCAGGACTTTCTGCCCCCACTGCCAGCGCGCCGGGCCCCGCTCGCCTTCCCCCGAGCGAGCGGGAGCCGCTGGGTGGCAAGCGTTGCCCGCGACGGGGACTAGACGCCGTGTGTCCGCTCCCGCAACTCATCATAAACAGGCGGTCCGAGCTCCCATCGGGAGCCGGGGGCCGGGGCCGAGTGGCCAGCGGCACCTGAGGCTTTCCGCCAGGGGCTGTCCCCCCTGGAGTCGGGGCGGGGGCAGTGGCCTCGGACGAGCAGGGCCAGCCCATCCTCTCCCCCCCCTTTCGCCGGCGATCTTCCAGTTACATAAGTGGAGTGGGACATAGTATGTAACGGGTTCCCCCGTGGCCCCGATCGAGCCCCGCTCGAGATGACCACGACCGGCCGGGCACGTTCTTCTCTCACAGTGGGCCCTCCCGGTTCTGTCTCAAAGTTCCTTTGCTTTTGAGTTTGGTGATGACTGACTGAGCCAGGCTGAAACGCAGGTGACTTCTGTGGCGTGGCGATGTTGCTCTGGTCTCATGCAAAAGACGGAAAGTCGCCGCGAAGATTCCGAAGAGATGGTCCTCACAGAGGGCAACGGTTGTGACATTGCCGGGAGTGGGGGGGAGTTGCTCTGGCATCCTGCTGTGTTGGGGGGAACTGGTCGCGGCAGACGGGCTTCACCTCAACACCGAGATTCCTGACTCATGGTCAGGCAGATGTGTGCTTCTGCTTATTTTTCCAGGAACAGGAATGGGGTCTGCAGAGCCAGTCACACGTGTGTCTCCGCTGTGTGGGATCAGTACCCCAAATTGTGAGAGGGTAGGATGGGATTCAGGGGGAGGCTGGTGAATGAGGAACGGAACCTGCCTCGGTGCGTGTGTGAGAGATGCTGAGTGGCTTCCACTTGGGAGGACTCGCAAGTTTGAAGCATTTGATCCAGCCGAGAGAAATGAAGCTGTCTTGGGCTTTGCTAGGAAAATTCCCGGCTAGCAGACCATTATCACTCTAGAGGGGAAATTTGGTTTCGAGGCTGGAATTTTCAGCTGGATCTCGGCTAACGGACGAGATTAAGCTGACCTCTCGGTCTTTTGAAATATGCTGAATTCGTCTTAAAAACAAACAAACAGGGTCCGGTCTTTTTTTTTCCTTTTTGGTCTTTGGGGAATTTGCAGCAGAGATTGTGGGGAACAGGCTTATTTGTGGGCTTTTTTTAGGACTTCTTTCTCGAATCCAAGTCAGGAAGCCTAGGAAACATGGGCTTTTATTTCCTTCCCCGGATGTGTTAGAACATTACATGGCACATCAATCCGGTGGAAGTCCGCTTGATTAAATAAGTCGCCGCTGAACACCCGTTCGGGGTTCATCAGCTGGGAGACTGATCACTGGGGTACGTTTTCATCTGCGCAAACAGACACACAAGCCTTCCTTGACGAAGATTCCAAGGTTTGTACGTCAGAGCCTGACGCTCGCTCGACAGACCCGGGGATGCTTCCTCTGGTTTGGTGAGCAGGGTGTTTGCCTCCTTGGGACTCCAGTTAGCAGCTTCTTGTACCGCTGGCCCTTTAAACTCACAGGAAGCTTCCGCCAGGTCATTTCTCTGCACTGTGCCCGTGTCCAGGCGTCTGGAGTCAGCGGATGTGAACAGCTTGAAGATCCCTTGTGTGGGTTTCTTGCTCAAACACGCCTGTCCCACCATCCAGTTGCTGTTCGTGTGTTCCTGTATCGGAGGGCTAGCATACGATTTGTGTGCTGTACTGTTTGTACTTTCCAGCCAGAGTTATCGTGCCCCCTGCCTGCCGTGCCTTCCTGTAGCCGGACCTAGATTGGTAGGGAAGCAGTTGGAAAGGGAAACTAGTTCTTTGGCTCCAGTAGGAAGTTCTCTAGTCCCCCCTCCCTCTACTTTTCCTTTCCCGGGAGGGCGAGATCTGCTAACCTAGAGTGAAGAGGGGGCTAAGACTTCAACTCTTGAAGGATTAGAGCTGCTTTAGGGCTCAGGATGATTTGCATGACAATCGACGTGTCCTGCCACCCACCGTCTTCAAAGGGAAACAGGTGATTGTCTACTCCTCCTGGACCTTGTCTGAAGAGGGGAAAATCTCTGCTGGACCTGAAGCTGCTAGAGCCCTCAGGGCGACACTGGCAGCCAGTTTCCGGGAGCGGGCTTGTTTCTGGTGCCATTACCTTTGGTCTAGCATTATTCCTGCTTCAACAGAAGGACCTGTCCTTGCATTCCTGACCCAGCCCCGACCAGCCAAATCACTGTCACCTCTGCAGCCCCTCCTTCTGCTCTATCCGTTCTAGCCTCTCTCCCCTCCCTTTCTCCCTTCTCTCTCCCTCTCTCCCCTTCTCCCTCCCTCTCTGTCCCCCCTCCCTCCCTCCCTCCCTTCATACCTTCTCTTCCTCCCACCTCCCCCATCTCTCCCTCTCCCCCCTCCAAAAGTTTGATTTGCATGTCATTGTTTGAGTACTTGCTTCCACCACTTTGCTGGTAGGGAAGGGAAGAGGGAGGCATGAGTGGAGGGACCGGCCACTAGAGAGAGAAGCCCGGGCATCTGACTGCGGTGCCACATCTGCCCTCCCTTACCCAGAGCTGGGGTGTGATCGGGAAGAGCCCTCGGATCTCAGCTTGATCGGGCTTTAAGGAGCTGCTCCATTTCCGTACTTTTTTGGGGATTTGGTCTCATAACTGCTGGTGCTCTGGGGTTGGTCCTGCTGGTGTTTCGGGGACAATGTGGGGCTAAGACAGACCCCGCGCCTCTTGCATGCAAAGTCTACTCTCCAAACCAGTTGAGCTCTTGTATTTTATTAACGAAATCTTGAGTAACAGAGCTTTTAAGCTTTCCGAACCGAAAGGTCCAATTCTCCTGTTTCAAGTAAAGAAAAAGTTGCTGTGAGAAGTTGCAACTTCCCAAGCTAGGATAATGCTTTGATTGGGGGAGTCTCCCAGGCGGTGCCCAGGGTCTCTCAGTGATACTCACCTGAGTGCTGTTGGGGCCCAGCAGTGCTTACCGTGGTGCGCCCCCCCGCCCCCCGCGCCAGTTTATTATGTTGCTAAGTGAGGGATGCTGTTTTCTTGACTTCCGGGGTCCGGAATCATTATATGTAAGGAATTCTCAGCTTTTACCCCCATAGATAACTCTCACTGTCATCCTGATAGTTGTGGCCGAGCTGAGCCAGGAAGGACTTGGCTGTCCGCCCTTCCTCTGTCCTGCCCACCTGATCCTTTATGGGGCCGGTGTCTAAGTGGATACTCCAGGCTTCTCGCAGTCACCAGAGGGAAGTGCTACTCTTGGGCCAGCGAGGTCTCAGAGACAAGCTACTGTGGGGCAGTTTAAGTTTAACAAGAAAATGATGACAAAGGTAATGGCCAAAGCAGGTTTGAACATGCGTTCAAAAGCCGTGGGAGGCAACGGCAGTGTGTGCTTGGGGTCCTGATCGGAGGGGCTCAGGCGTGACGGCTGCCCAGCTGGCCGGCGTGTTGTGGATGATGGCTCGGCCTCCCCGACGTGGCACCTGGTTCCCGTGGGTGCTGCTTTTCTCTCTCTGAGTTCAAGCTCCCTTTCCTGGTGTTAGGGCGGCTTGATGCAGCTGTCTCTGGATCTCGCGGATTCTCTGGGGGAATGCCGTTTGGATGTTGCATGTTCTCTCCTCAACTGTTTCTGTATGACATGGTGCACGCAGCACTGAGCAGGGAGCACCACTATTGGAGCGCTGTGGAGTGATAACACTTTGCTCAGAGGTGACCAGACCTGCGATGGCATGGATTTTAACACACGGGCTTTCCCGTTATTTGTGCCAACTACTTTGCAGGTGACTTTGTTTCTAGCTTGGTCGGCTGGGATATAGCACTGTACTTTGTCTGTATGTTTATCTGCAGAGTGTCCTGAATCACCCTGGGAAAAAGGTTGTGCTGCAAATGGGGACTTTCAACTTACGATTTTCTTTGTTTTAGGCTCCATAAAAATACAGACTCAGCAGTTCCTGCTTTGATGTGACATGTGACTCCCCAGAATACATCTTGCTTCTGTAGACCAGCCCCAACAGGATTCCATGGTAGCTGGGATGTTAGGGCTCAGGTAAGTAACCTTCCTTTTTTTTTTTTTAGTATATGTCCTGGTTTGGCCATCTGTTTTTAAAAAAAAAAGGAAAAAAAACCACATCCTACTCTTGGACAGTCCAAAAGTACCCCAAAGACTGAAAACATAACTGTGCCAAACTGTGCCATATAATAAAAAAAAGTCACTTCCCTGAGCCCTGAAAGGTCAGTCTGGGTTAGGGTTACTTGGTAGCTGCAGTCTGTGCCCGGGCGGGCGTCAGATTTGAGCTGGAACTGGTGACCTGCAGCTTCGGTTCACCTTGAAACAGGTCAGCTGCACCGAGAACGGGCCGCTGAGCTTTTGCCCTGCCCTGCGCTCGCGGCTGTGGCCCAGTGGTCTTCAGCATGGTGCTTTGTTCTCTTTGGTGTGGGCCAAGTGACTTG